TTAAAGTTTTTCTTCATTACCCATTTAAGCCGTCTCCAGCCATTATTATAATTGTATGTTAATGAATTTGCTAACCCTAAATATCCTGACATGAATTCTTTGAAATGGAAATAATATAGCACAATTCCAAGCTAAGCAATAGTAAAAACATCACTAGAAAATATAAAAAAAATTTCCAAGCCACATCTTCAACCTTCAAATGTGGCTTGAAGTCTGGTTCCTCTCCTTTACAACAACTTTAGTTGAAAAGCTGAGACATTATCATTTTTCAAGACCTCCATTAGAGATATGTGCATGCAAGTTCAACCAATAAAATCATAGATCAGCTCATATAACTCCACTGGCTTCAAATACACAACTTCCTTTGCAGTTCAACAGCTTACTGATAGACATCAATAAAATTCAAATAAAATAAGAGTGAAACAAAAAAATAATGCGTAACAATATATCTGTTACATTAAGTGCAGACAAAGCCCTTCACCCAATAGCAGGGCTCATAAAGTTTGCTAGTATACTGACACAGTATTGGTTGAGATGTTTAATTGTTGCTTTTATCATCTGTTATGGTGTGAACTAGATTAACTCCTTAAACCCGAATGGATGCTACCAGTATCAGGCCAAAAATCCCAATGTCACCATTCAGTGGGTAAAGCATCTGATAACATTTATGTCTCGTTGGCTGAATACTAATCCAAACCATGTTGTTCTCTACCTTTTATAAGTAGACCAGAAGTTCTGTGAAGCATTGTCATTTGTTTTGAAACAAGTTTCAGATCAACAAGTTGTGTTTGAGATTGAATTTTTTCATTGTTATCCTCTGAAGTCTAACGATTTGTTTACATCAATTGTAAAACAAAGATGGCAAGTGGAAAGAAGCCACTGAAACATTTTACTGCTGAGCAAGCGATAATTATGCTCAATCAGTTAGATGAAGGAGGAAGTGATGACATTGGTGATTCTGATCTTGAATTTAAGTTTGGAAACAAATCATAACAGTCATCAGTACCAAGTTCCAGTGCTTCTCAGTTAGCTGATCAAAGGGGGCATTGCCACAACCAGGAACCTAGTGGTACAAAGAGGCCAAGAAAGTGAGCCCCAGCTAGATCTGATCCACTTCCTACATCTATGTCCACTACCAATGCCAGAGACAATTATTTGGCTGAGGTAGATCTGCAAGATAGGTCAGCCACAAGTAATGATGTTGAGTTTTTGCCAAAGAACAGAAATGATTCTGGTGTACACACTAACATCAGTGACAACACAGAGCTCTTTTTATAGAGGATGTAATGCTCTCATCACTGCTATCAAGAAGTATGCCAAAGTGCAATTTCCTAAAAAAGCCTGCTCAGAGATGGTCAAGGTACTTGAACTGGTCTCCCTTTACCCACTATGAACTGCTGAAGCTTCTTATGACGACAACACCAATGAACATCGACCAGTAACTTAGCATTCAAGACTTTTCTGTCACCAGTTGTTCATCAGGGAGAGGTTTGGGGCTGTTTATTCAGCAATTTTTCATGTGGGTACCCCTGATGCTGAAGGGAAAAACAAAATTAAGAAAATTGAATTTTTATAAGGTACAAGCAAAAGTACCTGTCCCCAATCATGGGAAAAGTTTGAATTAATCTATCAATTCAAATTATTTTATAGACTTTAAAAAGTTTAATTGTGCTGCACTTGTTTTTTTCACGAAGAGTCAAATCTCTAAGCTACTATACCACTCATCATAAA